CAGACTGCCCAGTCGGGGGTCGTGTCCTCGCACCTCCAGCAGCTCGAAGCCTTTCTGTTCAGCAGCCAATAGGAAGCCGGCCTGACGCACAGAAACAAAACTTAAACAGGAAGCTTTTTTCCTCGGCTCCCGTCAACACGTCACACTCACGCTGTGCTTCCATTGGTTGGCCTGCAGAGCAAAGGATGCGATTGGCCGGCCGGTGCACAGGAAGCTGCAGTGCGGCTCCCGCGTCATGCGGTCGCGCTGCCGCAGAGCGTCCTGGGAGAGCAGAGCCAGCGCGGCGGTGTCGGCGAGGAACAGCGGCAGCCGGAAGTACTGCGCCAACCCCAGGAACTTCTTCAGGGTCTGCTGCAGAGAGAAGGTCCGGGTCAGGCTCAGACAGAGAGATGGGACCGGGTCAGAACCGGTTCTAACTCACCCATTGGGCTTGGCTGGAGGTCACATGACCTGCAGGGTTCAGGAGAAGACCAGTGTGCTGCAACACAGACACAGCTTTAGACCTTGGTATACGGAATGGGGAGAGGTGGCCTAGTGGTTAGGGATTAGAGCTTAGAATCCAGAGGTTGTGAGTTTGAAACCCACTCTGTACAAAATACCCTTAACGCGTCGAGTCGCAATGCAGCCCACTTATTACAGTCCAATGACAATAAAACGCTAAAACAAGCAGCACCAGAACTGCTTGTTTTTTTGGCTAATGTGACTAATCTGTGTTAGCTTGCTCTAGTATAAATATTGGGTGACAACACTGCCAAAGTTAGATTGGTTGGTTTGACCAAAAAATTGGTTGAACACATAATTTCCAACCCGATTAAAAGCAAAAACTCTGGAAAAACTATTATGTTTGAATAAAATGACTAACACCTTTCATTTTGTTCATCGTTGCCCAATTTGCACAAACACTTTCACTGCCTGCTTGAGCTTATTTCACTAAAATTCTCTTCTAAGACATTTTACACATGAAAAAAAAGATTTTATTATACACACCAATCATTAACAATTTCAAAAGAGCTTATATGGGGGGAAAAACAAGAAAAACAAAAGCAAAACATCTGATTATATTACTAACTGTAGTTCTGCACTCCACCAGTAGGTGGTGACAGATTCACATGAGGCTTCATGAACTGTGGGGATCTTTGAAGCAATTTAGCCAAACGGTTCAATGATGCTTCATCTCACCGGCATCACTACTGCATCCCTTTCTTCTCTCATCCACAACAGTTTACTTGAGCGGGAAGCCCCGCCTCTCACCTTGCTGACGTAGTTCCGGTAGTAATAGAGCTGGAAGAGCAGGAACGCGCAGCTGCTCACGAGCAGCAGCCCAAACACGAGCGTCCGGTTCACGCGAGGCATCCGGTACCGAGCCGTTCATGGCGTCCGAACCGAGCTGATACAATGAGGCAGCGACGCGAAAAACCGCAAACCGCCCGCCGCCATCTTTAAAATCCAACAGAGGAGCAGCTCCGCCTATTTCCTGTTGACCCTTCGCAATAAAAGTCCCGACATCCTGTTTGTCACAAATCGTTTAAAAAATAATAAAAATAATAATAATAATAATAAAAAGAATTTACACAACTACAACTTAATTAATATTTATTTATATAATTAGTGTTTGTTTGGCATAAAAACATAAACTAGCATGGTTTTAAACACACGGGCCCCCTGACTGCTGCAGACAGGATCCAGCCCAAAGCAGATCCTGAGGGATGAAGCAGGAGAAAATGGATGATAAATTCCCATCTTTTTTTATTTTATTATCTTTAAAGTTACAAAAAGACAGACTCACTGCATTCCAGTAAACTGTACCCTGCCAGCCGAGCTTTGCTAAAACGTTTGGCTTCAAATGCAGTTGTAAATTCTGTGGATTAGGGCCACTGGAGAAAAAAAAAAAAAAAGTTAACTGATTTTTTAAATTTTATTTCAGTATAGTATGGGAAAAAAGTCAGAATTCTGACTTTTTTCTCAGAATTCTGATTTTTTTTCTCAGAATTCTGACTTTTTATTGTCAGAATTCAGTCAGAATTCTGAGATTAAAGTGAGAATTCTCACTTTAATCTCAGAATTCTGACTTTTTTCCCATGTTAAACTGAAATAAAATTTAAAAATCAGTTTACTTTTTTTTTTTTTTTTCAGTGGCCCTAATTCTCTTCCGTAGAAAACATCTGGAGAAAAGGCAAATAAACTATATATTAATTATAGAAACCAAAGAAATCAATGGTCATGAAGATTTTTTTTCGAGGAAATAAAATAATTTGTAAAATCCATTAATTATCTTAAGTTTCATAAACATTATTGTTTTTTATGTTAGGAGGGTAGGTTATGAAGCAATTGGGTCAAATTGACTAGAAATGTTTTAATAAATCCAACAGATGCATGAATTCCTTTAAATGACCTTAAACATTTTTCTAAAAGAAAAAACAGATCTTTCTTTTACAAAAACTAGTTGGAAAAATTTATTTGGTCGGAACTAAACCTTAGGAAAAAAGACAGAAATGTTTTAATCTTTGATGTTTTTATTAAAAATTTGCATAAAAATGAACTACAAAAGTAATTCCTGCTTTTATGATTCTATTAACAAAAGGCATTATAATATTTTGAAACATCCCTAAAAGCTTTATAGGGAAAAAACTTTATACATTGAGCAGAAAGAATCTGACATGAAGATTCTGTTAATAAACCTTAAAAAATAAAAATTTATAATAAGATTTGTGAAGAAAATCAGAACCAATTGTTTCCAATCCCACTGAAAGTAAAAGAACAAATTTAATATTTAATAAATAAGTTCCTGTTCCGTGATGCTATAAAGAAAAACAGAACAATAAAAGTGTAATAACTGATTAATAAAACTGGATTTAGCATAATTAATCTATTCTACTTTCAAATATTAATAGAAATAGAAGGAGATCATGGTGAACTTCAGGAAGAACCGGCCTAACCACGCTCCACTGCTCATCATCAGCTCAGCTGTAGAGGTGGTCAGCAGCACCACATTCATCACAGACACCCTCACCTGGACTGGAAACACCACCTCACTGGTCCAAAGGGCCCAGAAGCGCTTGGACTTCCTGCGGAGGATGAGGAGAGCCCACCTGCCGCCCCCATCTTCTCCAGAAGCACCATAGAGAGCGTTCTGAGCAGCTGTCTCACTGTGTGGTGTGGAGGCTGCAGCTCCTCAGACTGGAAGAAGGTGAGAACAGCAGAGAGGATCATGGGGGCTCTTCTTCCCTCCATTAAAGACATTTCATCCCAGCGCTGCGTGTCCCGAGCCCGTGACATCATCAATGCAGGTCTAGCAGATTCTGCAGCAGCTTCTTCCCCACCGCCATCAGACTGCTGAATGTTGAAAAAACAAAAAAACAACACAAAAAAAAAACTGAGTTTAAACAACGTTGAAATTAAAAGAGTGAAACATTTTTTTGGGGAGTAGTAATAGATGATAAAGTTTGTTGGAAGCCTCACATAAAATGTGTAAAACAGAAATGATCTAAGTCTATATCTATTCTCTACAAAACTAGAGATTTACTGAATAAGAACTGTTTTCATTTGCTGTACTTCTCACTTGTGATGCCTTATATGACATTCTGTGCTGAATTTTGGGGAAATGTATATAAAACAAATTTAGATCCATTGATTACACTGCAGAAAAGAGCTATTAGAATAATAAATGGAGACCGTTATTATACAAGTCAGCTGTTTATAAGATCACAAACATTAAAATTTCCAGACATTGTATATTTAAAAACATTGGAAATGATGTTAGGATTGGTAAATAAGACCATCTCTGTTTGTATTCAAAAAATGTTTAAGCTAAGGCAGGGGATTTATAACTTAACTAATGTTTGAAACTTGAAAAGCCAGAACTAATGTTAAATACAGATGTGTGTCAGTTTTGGGTGCAGAATTATGGAATGCACTTAATGATGAAATAAAGATGTGTAACTCTACATAAGTTTTAAGAAGACTTTGAAATCTAAACGTATAAAAGATAACAACAAAATTTGACTGAGTTTGATTTTCATTATTATTGTTTTGTAATTATGTATTAGTACCAATGTTTTCTGGTGAATTATTGTTATGATGGTACAGGCAAAAATAAACCTTGGGGCTTCAGCGTATTCCTTTTTTGGTTGCTTTGATGAATTATTTTGTAAAAAATATTATTTTATTTTTTGTTTTTAAACCGTAGTTAAGTAATAATTCATTCATAATCATTCATTCATTCATTCCTTCATATAAATGCTCTAAAACTTCCATATCGATGTGTTTTTCTATTTTTTTCCCTCCCACACTGCTTACATTTTATCACTGCTGCACTTTATGGAATGCAAATGTTCATTTACTGTCTTGAAAGCTGGTACTAAACGACATTTCGATTTGTATACAGTCTGTTTGTACAAAATTACAATAAAAGTTGTCTAAATCTAATCAAGGTTGGTCATCTAATATTTATTCCTCCTGCCTGACTAAATCTTTCATTTCCCTCATTTTCAAAATGCATATAATCTAATTATTTTTTCCCTTCTATAATAATGGTAATTATCACAGCTTAGATTTTTCACATGTATTTTGTTGTGGTGTGTTACTTTCTGAATAAAGTTATGTTCAAAATCAACTGCTCTGTTTCTTTATATATATATATATATATATATATATATATATATATATATATATATATATATATATATATATATATATATTTTTTTTTTTTTTTTTTTTACTATTAACAACAAATCAGTGGAATTTCATTGAAAAAAATGATCTTTTGGCACCAGTTTTATTCTGAAATCAGCTCATTTTCTCCCATTAAATGAACTGGTTCCAGCGGCGTTTCTTCAGTCTGAGCTGAATAAAAACTTGCAGACATGAAGGGAAACTAATCTAGATTATAATCTGAGCCTTTAAAGGTTCAGAGCCACATTGCCAATCAGCAGCACAGTTCGGGTTTCATTAGGATCCAGAAGCAGGTTCGTTTAATCACAGCTGGTCCTCACAGGGACCGAAAACCACCCAGTCACACACACACACAGAAACAAGATGGCGGAGCACAGCAGCAGCTGTGGCTCCACAACAAGCCGCTTTTGATAAAACTTCACTAGACTTCGTTTTGCTCGTCCTCTCTGGTCCGGACCGGATTCATGAGTTCTCCGAACCGCCTCTGACGGTCCTTCCACCGGCTGGTTGTGTCTGCCCGCCGCCTGAAGCCCCATCAGTGGGAAGGTAGGAGCTGTTAGCCTAGCTGCTGGTTGGCCTCTTGTTTTGGTTCCGTACCGGTGTTTGGACTGAAGGGAGGAAGGTTCTGGACTGAGCCCGGTTCACCGGAACCGGTCCGGTTCTGGAGTTGGAAAGAAACCCAGATTAGGCAGCATTTGTTTCGGTAAGAAGGCAGAAAGAGTCGAAGTGGTTTTAGCAGGAGCTAAAGGCTGCAGCTAAAGAGTACTGCTGTAGTATCAGAGTACTGCTGTAGTATCAGAGTACTGCTGAACTATCAGAGTACTGCTGAAGTATCAGAGTACTACTGAACTATCAGAGTACTGCTGAAGTATCAGAGTACTACTGAAGTATCAGAGTACTACTGAAGTATCAGAGTACTACTGAACTATCAGAGTACTACTGAAGTATCAGAGTACTGCTCAACTATCAGAGTACTGCTGTAGTATCAGAGTACTACTGAAGTATCAGAGTACTACTGAAGTATCAGAGTACTGCTGTAGTATCAGAGTACTGCTGTAGTATCAGAGTACAGCTGTAGTATCAGAGTACAGCTGTAGTATCAGAGTACAGCTGTAGTATCAGAGTACTGCTGCAGTATCAGAGTACTGCTGTAGTATCGGAGTACAGCTGTAGTATCAGAGTACTGCTGCAGTATCAGAGTACTGCTGTAGTATCAGAGTACTGCTGTAGTATCAGAGTACTGCTGCAGTATCAGAGTACTGCTGCAGTATCCGAGTACTGCTGCAGTATCCGAGTACTGCTGCAGTATCCGAGTACTGCTGCAGTATCCGAGTACTACTGAAGTATCAGAATACTGCTGTAGTATCAGAGTACAGCTGTAGTATCAGAGTACTGCTGTAGTATCAGAGTACAGCTGTAGTATCAGAGTACTGCTGCAGTATCAGAGTACTGCTGCAGTATCAGAGTACTGCTGCAGTATCAGAGTACTACTGAAGTATCAGAATACAGCTGTAGTATCAGAGTACTGCTGCAGTATCAGAGTACTGCTGCAGTATCAGAGTACTGCTGTAGTATCAGAGTACTGCTGAACTATCAGAGTACTACTGAAGTATCAGAATACTGCTGTAGTATCAGAGTACAGCTGTAGTATCAGAGTACTTCTGGAGTATCAGAGTACTGCTGTTCTATCAGAGTACCTCTGGAGTATCAGAGTACTACTGCAATATCAGAGTACTACTGCAGTATCAGAGTACTACTGTAATATCTGAGTACTACTGTAATATCTGAGTACTACTGCAGTATCAGAGTACTTCTGGAGTATCAGAGTACTGCTGTACTATCAGAGTTCCTCTGGAGTATCAGAGTACTACTGCAATATCAGAGTTCTATTGCATTATCAGAGTACTACTGTAATATCTGAGTACTACTGTAATATCTGAGTACTACTGTAATATCAGTTCTATTGCATTATCAGAGTACTACTGTAATATCTGAGTACTACTGCAGTATCAGAGTTCTGCTGTAGTATGGGAGTACAGCTGTAGCATCAGAGTGCTGCTGTAGTATCAGAGTACTACTGTAGTATCAGAGTACTACTGTAGTAGTAGTTAACATCCAGTTTTGGGTCTAAAAATGTTCCCAAACATTTCAGCGGAGGTGACTGACGCAGACCTGCTGGAGGCGGGACATGAGCAGAAACAGGAAGTAGTATTTTTATTCTGGGAAAATGTAGTTAACAAGCTTTTCATCAAAGGAACCGGTTTAGACTAAAGTCCACTTTGAAGTCTGATGAAAGAAGAGCAACAATAAACTGGGAGTGCTGGGCGTAGTGCTGGGGGGGCACTGGGTTCTGCTGCATGGTGTCAGACAGGCGGTTCTGTTAGTAGCTCTCATAGCTCCCGTCCTTTCTCAGTCGTTCACTATGACCTCCACCTGGTTAAAGGTGCGCAGTCACCTTATACCTCATTAGTAGCTGGTTTCACGTAATCTTTTTTTGAAGGTTACTGCTTCCTGCTGTAATTTTTTTATTTTTGTATTTTACATTTTCTTTTTGCTTACTATTTTATTAAATAAAGTATTTCTATGTATATTTACAGTAACTTCACTGCATGATCAGAGGTATGATAGAGAGCGTGTAGTGGGGCTCAGCCAGTTAGCACCTCTCAGTGAACTGTGGAAATAAAAGTCCAGGATCCGACTTGGGAAAAAACAAACATTTGATTCAAAGTGGGACTGGAACAGAGCTGGGAATCCAGTCTGTGTCACCATCTGCCCTGACCGTCACCTTAATAGTTCATTTCACTCACCTGCCTAACTGCCCTGTTTTCTAATTAGCACTCATCTCATTCACCTGCGTCTGTTCCTTCATATTTGGTTCATCATGAGCAATCTGGGCCAGATCATTGATCGTTTCCTGGTCTCTCGGGGGTTTTGGCTGGGAACATGGAGAGGGTCGGTTTTATTCGCATAAGCCTGGCTCCTAAGAGGAGACCAGTTTAAAGTCCTGCTGGAATCCTGGTACCACGTCTTGTCTCTGCTTCCCTCAACCACTGAGCCTGCCTGTCTGCATCTGTGCGTCTCCGTTTTGGCACGCTTCTGGACCGGTCTGAATCCGAACCTGCCTTCACGCTTTGAGGATTACTGGAAGCCTGGATCCCTCTGCTTCCAGTTTGGGTTGGAACCTCTGAACATGCGAAGAACTCCTGGATCCCTGGACTGTTCCTGCCTGATCTGAATCAGACCAGAATCAGATTCCTGCATCTTCTCTGGGACTGCAGCATCAGGGACACTCTGGGCGACACGCCACGTCTAGTTGTCAGGCCATCAGCTGGAATGCACCCCTTTCTAAAGGCTAATTTATGCTTCTGACGCGTAGCCTCTGCAGACGTCAAATCTTTCTCTGTGGTATGCCTTTGCGGCTGTCGCTGTGGTCGTTCTTCTGGATTCGGTCCTTCCAGACCGACCGTGCAGAAGCATACCAGCAAAACTGGTTCATGACCGGACGCAAGCGACATTTGATGTGTGCGGTTGCAGAAGTGAGTTAAGGGTGTCAGTGAATAGGCGGTGCCCCGTTCCCCTTCTGCAGCCGCCGCGAGCCGCAGATCCACAGCAGCGTGCCTCTGTTCGTACCTCTGACAGTCTGAAGGTTGGCCTTGACTGAGGAGGAGGAGCTAAAGCTGCACAGGTGATACGCTGGTGAAGATTCCTAGTCATCCAGGTCATAGTCATTCCAAAAATGTTAAAAAACAATCCAATAGACTTTGTTTCCAAGTTTTAAAGACGTTTCACTTCCCATCCAGGAAGCTTTTTCAGTTCAAAATAGCAGAATTAGCTTTGAGTTTGAAGCTTTATATAGTAGCCCAAAACCTGTTTAGGCTTAGAAAACCTGCAAATTGAAGCAGAGGAACGGGTCCGCCCCTTAGGAATCAGGAGTTGTTTTGGGTCCTTGCAGTTCAAAAGGAATAATATAAAGTATTGCAACCGTTACATCCTTGGTGATAACCTCCTGAAGACATCTGGTTTATAGCCTCTTGTCCATCATCCCAAAAGTTTGGCAATTTGGGGCATGACCAAAACTTGTTGTAAGATTAACAGTTTCTCCAACGCAAACCTGGTACTTTAGGATTCATCTTAGCTCCTACGTCCTGAAATATCTGCTGATAATTTTCATTTATATTCCCGCCATCTATTTGAGCTTCTAACTCCATGTGCTTAATTCCACACTTGTTCCCATATATCATCAGAAATACTTTTGCCCGTCTCTGCCTCCCATCTTTGTTTTGTCCAAGCAGATACACTGATGTTCATGGACAAAAACATCTTATATAATTCTTCTCCCCTTCACCTTTTTGGAGTTGAATCAGTCATTTCTCTATTGGTGTGGGGCTTGGGACTCTTTCCCAGTCCCTGTATGTAGACAAAAAAGAGCACAACTGTAGGTATCGGAAAAAATAATATTTTTAGAGATAAAAGCTGTTTGAACTTTAAGCATATTCATACATGTGAGTAGGGTTGGGCGATAAGACGATACATATCGTACGGACGATAGAAAAGTGTCTATCGTGCTAATTCTATTCTATCGTTTCTATCGTTTCTAACACAATTGTATCTCGTATTCATGCAAATATTTCCCATGGTAGACTACTACAATCGTATTAGTGTAGCCATGTAGCCTACACACAGCTTATAAGTGATAAACAAGATTTTTTTTTTTAATCCACAAAGAAGCGGCATCCTGTGGTTTTTGCAACATGACGCCTCTTTACGGGTTTTTGACTCACACGCGGGTTTGCGACATGCTTTACGTTACTTAACTCATGAGAGTTGGAGACGCAGGAGGCTGAAGTATTAAACCTGTGGTCGCAACAAACAGAGACAGCTACGCAGGCAACCCAAGATAAAGAAATTTTACCAAAAAGAGGGGGCACATCTGTGATTTGGTTACATTTTGGATTTAACAAGTCCAACAAGGAGCAGACAACATTTGCAAACTATGCTACAAGACTGTTCCCTTACCCGATGGCAACACGACAAACCTCTTCTAATACCTAAAGAAGAACCACAGTAATTTAATTTAAATACCCGTAGGATTTAAAAAAATGTGAAGGATACTGTAGCCATACTTCCACCTCATCTTATGCATATATATTGTTGCACTACAATTTATTTTTCTAATTTGTGACAGTTCTATAAATGTCACTTCAAAATAAAGTTGAAAAAGTAAGCAATTATATTATTTTGTCATATTTTTCAGAGATTTGCTGAAAATGTACTTAATTGGAGCATATTGCGATATATATCATTATCGTGATATAAAATAGTCCATATCATGATATATGATTTTTTCCATATCACCCAGCACTACATGTGAGCATCCTGTGCATCTTATTAGCCCACACAGTAGATACTGACTCCCATCCCACGGGAATCCCTTGACCCGTGGGATCCCGGATGGGAGTCAGTATTAGTAACGATCACGTGATTGGGATGGTACAGGATTAAACATTAACGGGAGCAGATGGGAGCGGGAGTAGACCAATAATAAC